GCACAGGAAACTGCGGACCACGGCCTTGGGACACACAGAGGAAACTGTGGACCATGGCCCTGGGACACACACAGCCTCCAGCTGCATCTACCTTAAATCAGTCTCAAAATCAAAATCTAGCTCCACTTAGTTTTGGGGACCCCCTTCTTAATTCTCAGTCCTTACAGAGGGGCCACCCTCACGTGTAGGACCACGGAATTACCAATCCCAAAGAAAAGCGGTAGGATGGGCCACATGACCAGTGCACAGCTCCCACTTGTTCCAGAACAGTCTGTCCTTCCTCCCCAATGCTGAGGAAGTCAGTCCGGGTCTACTCCTTCTGGAGGTCTTGGTCAGCGGTCATGAGAGTGAGGAAGGAGCAGCTTTATGCCCTGTCTCCCTTCTCTTTCTCCACAAACTCTTTCAACAAGTATGGACTGAGAGCACGCTATGTTCCAGGGAGCCCTGGGGATGCGGTGGCTAAGTGCTCAGCTGCTAACCGGAAGGTTGACAATTCAAACCCACCAGCCACTCCATGTGAGAAAGACGTGGCAACCTGCTCCTGCAGAGACTACAGCCCAGCAGACCTTAGGGGGCAGTTCCCACTGTCACGGAGGGTCACTGTGAGTCGGAATTGACTCCATGTTGACAGAACAGGCTCCTGTGTTACTTCTGGTCATTGATTCAACAGTGAGGCTGGTTGAGGGCCTGGAAGGTGAGCTTAAGTGTAAGGAGACCCTGTGCCTGTCAGGAGGTGCTATGACACGTGGGAAGAGGAGGCCAGGATCGAGGCACCAGGGAGGGGAGGGCTGCGTTTACGTGTCCTAGACAATGTTCAAGGGAGCCTGGTGACACAGTGGCATCTACTGGCTGATTGAACCCACCAACTGCTTCACGGCAGGAGATGTGACAGTCTTACTCCCCTCACAATACGGCCGTGGAAACCCTATGCAGCTCTTGCACTCCGTCCTGTAGGGTCACCAGGAGTTGGAACTGATTTGATGGCAAAAGGGGTCTTTTTGGTGCCACGTTCCTGGCACTAGGATGGGATTTGAGGCTGGACCAGGCACAGGACTATGGTAACTATGGTGGATACCCAGTGGACATGCAGTACACACGCCCTCACTCGGCAGCCTGTCCTGGGCATCCCAGCTCAGAGTCCAGCTGGGAAGGCAGTTAAGTCTACAGGCACCGTGTGTTGTCAGCAGCAGCCAAGGTGGCCCAGGCAGAGCAACGCACACGGACTACTGTGTGCACACGTGCGTGTGTCTTTCAAAGCAAGAGAGTTCACAAGAACAAGTGGCCAGACTTACAATTTGCTTCTGTTTCAAAGGCTTCACCGAGAAGCTGCCATCCATGTGCTGCCAGGAGAAGAAATACGTATTAAGTCAATGGAGCTGGTACCTCTCAGTAATCCTAGCTGAACACACAGACATACACACACAGACATACACACACAGACACACAGACAGACGCAGTCACGCATATACATACAGACAGGACACACAGGCACACAGATACACAGACAGACCCAGTCACATGTACACATACACAGAGATAGAATACACAGACAGACCCAGTCACATGTACACACACACAGATAAAATATACAGAGCCAGTCACATGTACACACACACACATATAGAATACACAGACAGAGCCAGTCACATGTACACATACACACAGACAGAATACACAGACAGAGCCAGTCACACATACACATACACACAAAGAGACACAGATAGGATACACAGACCCAGTCTCTCTCTCTCACACACACACACACACACACACACACACAGAGGCACAGACCACAGATAAATGCATGCACACAGCAAACACACATATACTGTGTACATGCTGTATATGATGTATGCGTACCGCAGACAGACAGACATATATACACATGCATGTACCACACACACCCCTCTCAATCCCCAAAATTAATGTGCCTCACAAAACAGTAGCCTGGGGACTCCAAGTCTGGGTGGAAATAAAGGCAAAGCTCTAATGCCAGCTGACAGGCCCTTTCTCGGTCAGTCCATGGCCACGGCTGCACACAGGACAGGCCGTGGGAAGGCCAAAGGCCAGGCCAGCATCTCTCAGAACATGCTCCCACACCTGGCTCACAGCTACCTAAACACATCCCTGAGACAGAGTCCTGGGTCCGACCCCCACCCACAGAGCTCTGGGGTGACTCTCAGCACATCCTGAAGACACAGAGTCCTGAGCCCGACCCCTGATCCCCAGAGCTCTGGGGTGACCTGCAGGCACGGGGCAATTTAACATCACCCAGCCAAAGTCCAAGGGGGGGCAAGACCATCCCCACATCAACAAAGACCCCTGGGTACAAAACCCAAGAGAAATCCACCCCATTCTCCAGGCCCGGCTTCCTGGGGAGAGAGCATGTGCACAGGAAAACCCAAAGCTCTAAAACCGGGAAGAGCAAGTAAGAGCAGAGCAGAGTAGATCTCGTCTGGAGGCAACCAGGGCAACACACTGCCCGAGGTCGACAAGGCTGCCCGAGGTGCGTGGTCAGAGACCTGGAGGGGCACAGGGAGACATGCTGCCCGAGGTCAACGAGGCTGCCCGAGGTGCGTGGTCAGAGACCTGGAGGGGCACAGGGTGACATGCTGCCCGAGGTCAACGAGGCTGACCGAGGCACGTGGTCTGAGACCTGGGGCAGCACCAGGGTGCCTCCCAAGCAGCCATGCCTTTGGCAGTGGGCGTATGGGGTCAGGCTGCTGGGATCACAAGGAACTGTCCAGTGCACTAGATCCCACCAGTAAAAAGCCTCTCCTCAGGCTCTAAACTGGACGCACAGGTCACCACGTCACCCAGGGGACACCAGGCGCCAATATACACCATCTCTTCAGACAAAGCCAGCTCAGTGGGTATGGTGGCAAGCCAGCCCTGAAGCAAGGGGGTGGTCCCTACCAGACAGCCAACTTCACCCAGAGGACAGACAGGCCAGCGGGGCCACGGACCACCTATGCTGACTGCCCTGGCTGTATCAGAAAGAGCCAGTCACAGGAAGGAGCCTCACACCCTGGGCTGGGGAACCAAGAGTCAGTGGGTCACCAGGAAAACCCGGAACATTCTGGGCCCAGGCTCCGTCCCCCCAGAGACGGTGGGATCTCTCTGCCCGTCTAGAGACCATAGAGGCGGCCTGTTTCCCCCGGACCACAGGCTGGTGCGGAAAATACTTCACAGCTGCCCAGTGCTGACAGGGGGTAGAGCACTGCTGTGGCATCAGGGGCAGCATGCCACTGCCCTCTGGTGAGGTTCTCAGAGAATAGAGACCCTGTCCCAGTACAGCCTCGGCACTCGTTGGCTGTGGGGATGGACGCCCATAGAATGGTCTGCATGGCTCCCCAGGAACCAGAGGTGACCAACTGGCCTGACTGTCCCTCGAATATGGGATTCTCTTGTATCTCCTGGGGAGCCGACAGTCCTTGTCACCAAGGCCATCACAGACCGACACACTCAGACACAACTGACACACACACACACACACTTACAGGCACCCAGACTCACACCACAGCTCCCACCCTCACCACACACACCCCAGCAGCACCAACAGCTGGGAGCCTGGGGACGCCGGGTCTGGGTGGAAATCAAGGGTAAGGCGCTCACCTCCCCCAGAGGAGCATCTATGCACGCTTCTGCGTGAACAGCCCGGCTTCCCTGGGGCTGGCTGCGACTCAGAAAGTACCAGGGGAGGCTTGAAGTCTGCCCACCTCCCGCTGGTCCCTGCCCGCAGGGGACTAGGGCCAAGCGGGTATGACACAAATGCTCCCCGCTCACACACCCATCCACATCCCCCAAGCAGCCACTGTGGGCCGAGCCTTGGCCTGAGCCCACGGGCGTGACCACAGGCGCTGGCCCCACCAGAGCCGGGAGAGCCCCCTACAGGAGAGAGCCAGCCCTGAGGATGGATGAGTGAAGAGGCCAGGCAAGGGGAAGGCAGAGTGCAAAGTCATGGACAATGTGGGGGGCGAAGGAGCCTATATGACAATCAGGGTGACGCTGGAATACAATGGGGAAGGGGTGTGGCCTGGCTGTGTCAAAACTGATCTCTCTGTGGCCCAATGGGAAGGGGGTCCTCGGCTGGGAGGCCTCATGGCAGGTCCCAGCCTGCAACGGTGGGACCCAGTGTTCAAAATGGCCAACCTTAGTCTAAAACATTTAGCCTCCTGGGAAGTGCCACCCTCCCCAAGGCCCAAAATTTCAGGGAATCATCCCCTGCCCTGGCATCTGGCAGACCACTTCTCCACACCTGGCCAAGTTCACCCTCTGTCCCAAAAGGCCACCCCACCCAAGGGGCAGGCGGACGAGCTACACTCACCTTTTCAAAGGCAGCCAAGAGCACATGGGCATGGCCGGTCACCTCCACAACTGCGGAGAGAGGGGACCGGAGGGGAGCGCGGTCAGGGCGGGCTGCCCTCAGCCCCAGAGGTGCCAGCACCAACCCACTTCCACCTGGCTTCCCCCCAACAACCCAGGGGGCCTTCGGTCTCACACTCTCGCAGGCCTGGGCTCGCTTCCATGGCCCACACCTCTCTCCCTGCTGACAGACCATCTACAGCCTCATGCACACAGAGGGACCTTTCGGCAAGTCCTGCTGACATAAACATGGCTGTCACCGAGGGCTGAGGGGCCAGAATGGACCCAGCTGGCCTAGAGAGACGTGGGCCATGGTGTCACCACCATGACAGGGGCTCTAGCCTCCTCACCCTACGTCTGGGGGAGCCCGCTATCTACAGGGAGTCCCAGTCCACTGCAGAGGCTGCGGGAGACCCTATGAGACAGGCAGGAAGAGGGAGGGCCCAGGGAAGCTGCCAGCATGGCCAATCAGCCAGCGGGAAGCAAGCAGGAGAGGGGAGAGGCTGCCAGCCAGCGCTAGGCCTTCCCGCCACCTGGCTCATCACCTGACTGGGGGCATATCCTCAGGCACCCATGAGCCCAAGACACAGAGGATGGTCTGAGGCTGTGACTTTAGGGGCTGAGCCAGTTCACCCACAGACATGCGTGGTGACAAGGGTGATGGAGGCCAGCCTGGCCATCAGCCTACAGTCCCCACGACCAGAAGGAGCAGCGAGGGGGGCCCTGGCAGGGGAGGAGAGGAAGGCCCGAGCACCCCGGCAGCAGCAAAGAGCTGAAGCCTCCAGTGCCTGCAGCCCCCACCCCTACCTGCCCCCCGGGCTGAGCTCCCAGTCCCCACCCACGCCAGTCAGGTGTGTGCATGTGTGTGTGTGTGTGTGTGAGGGGCTCTTCCCGCAGACACAGGGCTTGGAAGGAAGCACTCCCAGCGAGACGGAGAAGCAGGAGGTGCCAGTGCTGCTCACCGTCCCCTTCGTCCACAACGGCCTGGATGACCACCGGAAACACACCACGGTCCAAGTCAAAGTTTAGCTGAGGGAGGAAGGCAGTGTGGTCAGGACCGCGGCAGCCAAACCACAGACTCAGGGTCAGAGCGGGACACGAGAAGAGCCGAGGAGGGAGAGAAGCACAAAGTCTGGAAGCCCCAAGACGGAGGGAAGTGAAGGGGACCTCGGGAGAAGCCCCTCGCCCGTCCACTACCCTCAGGGCTTAAGGCCGCTCCAGCTTCCGGCTCCCTGACGTTCTTGTGCTAACAGCCACCTCCTCCCCACAGCCCACAAGGCCCTGCCTCACGCTCCAGCTTCACCCCAACCAGCTCACCCCCTCCTGCCAGGCCAGGCAGCACCCATTCCTCACACAGGCCTGCTCCCTCCTTCCTGAAGGAGCCTGGCGGTACAGCAGTTAGGCACCCAGCTGCTAACTGGGAGACTGGCAGTTGACAGCCACCCAGCTCGGGTGAGAGACGTGGAAATCAGCTCCCACAAAGCTCACAGCCTAGAAAAGCCTGTGGGCACTTCTACTCTGTCATACAAGGTCACTAGAGTCGGAACGGACTCCACCAAACCCAGCAACCATGCCTTCCCGTCGGGTAGCTCGCTCCCAGCGGCCCCTGCTAGCCACTCCCCCTCCGGGTCTCAGGACAGCCTTCCCTGGACCCCCAGTGACGAGGCTTCGGTCTGTTCTCTGGGCTCCCGGCATCGTCTCCATGTGGCCTGTGACCATCGTAACAAGAAAAGCCTCGTGAATAACCCACTCTGACTCCTCGTGAGACGAGCACCCGAGACCTGCCTGCCCACCCACACCCTCAGTGTCGTCAGAGAAAGCACAGACGAGGCGAGTCTGTTTCATTTCTGGAGGGAAAAGACATACATTTCTCAATAAACATTTACTAGAACAGACAATGGCCGCACGACGCTAAGAATGCACTAAAAGCAGGGAAATGACATCGGAAGGTGGTGGACGGTACCTCAGGGAAGCTGTGTAAAACCAAGACAACAAGGAGCCCTGGAGCACAACAGCCAAGTGCTTGCTGCAAACCCAAAGGTCCCACTACCCAGTGGCTCCGGGCGACACCTGGCGATCCGCTCCCATAAGGAGTGAAGCCCAGGAAACCCTGCAGAGCAGTGCTGTCACACGGTCACTGTGAGTCACATGACTCAATGGCACCCAGTAACAAACAGGCAGGCTGGATGAAGCACCACGGAGAAAAGGACGCGGACGCAGTCCCAGTGAGTGCAGCAGACAGGGCGCAGAGCAGAGAAAAGGACGCGGACGCGGCCCCAGTGAGTGCAGCAGGCAGGGCGCAGAGTCCAACAGCGGGGGCGAGAGGCCTCGGGGTCCACCTGCAGGCCCTGCCCCTCAGAGATGTCACAGCGCTGTCATTCATGGGCTGACGAACTGGAATCCTAGCCTGCAGCTAAGCAACCCCCATCAACGGCCACGCTGCTCTGAAGGGCACTCGCAGCCAGCCCGGGTTCCAGTCCTTCCCGAGCATCGGTCGGCTGACGGACCTAAAGCAGGGGAAGCCCAGGGCCTCCCCAGTGGGTCCATCCAGAAAGCAGGCAGTGGGCACAGGGCCCTCCACACGGCCCCCAGGGCCCAGGTAACTTCCACTCAAGCCACTGCGCCTCTCTGAGCCTCAGTTTCCCCATCTGTAAAATGGGGTGATTAGTGCACGGATCTCAAGGGCTCCAGTGACGGGAGGCCTCCAAGCCCTCCCACCCAACCCAGCCAAGAGAACCCACTCGAGTGCAGACTGCTGCCGCTGTTACTATTATTCTGGGGCAGAAGGAGCACGTTCTCCCTATAATTCATCAACACCAGGAACTCCCTACAAAAAACGTCAACAGGACAGGAGCCAGGGCAGAAAACAAAGGACAGGCAGGTGGGAAACATGGGAGCAAACAACCCCCCACACACACACACTCTTATACAAACTTAACCCAGCTGGGGGTCAGCAGGGCACACACAGAGACAGACAGACACACGCGCACACACACACACTCATACAAACATAACCTGCTGGGGGCCAGCAGGGCACACACAGAGACAGACAGACACACGCACGCACACACACACTCATACAAACATAACCTGCTGGGGGCCAGCAGGGCACACACAGAGACAGACAGACACATGCACGCACACACACACTCATACAAACATAACCTGCTGGGGGCCAGCAGGGCACACACAGAGACAGACAGACAGACACACGTACACACACACACACACTCATACAAACATAACCTGCTGGGGGCCAGCAGGGCACACACAGAGCCAGTCAGACACACACTCAAACAACCCGATGAGGGCCAGCAGGGCACACACGGAGACACTCACACACTCAGACACATACACACACACTCACGCAAACATAACCCAGCCAGGGGTTGGTGGAGCACACATGGAGACACTAACACACTCAAATACACACACACACAAACATAACCCAGCTGAGGGCCAGTCAGGCGCACACACTCACACACACTCTCTCTCACACACACACACACTCATAAAAACATAACCCAGCCAGGGGCCACTGGGACACACACACAGACACTCAGACACACATACACACACAAAGATAACTCAGCAGGGTGCCAGTAGGTAGCACAGACATACATACTCATAAACATAACCCAGCCAGGGATTGGTGGGGCACACAATTACACACTCACCCACTCATACAAACATAACCCAGCTGTTATGGGCTGGCAAGGCAAACGTGGAGACACTCAGAGATACACACAGGCAGACAAACCCGCATACACAGACACACACATGCTCACACTCACACAAACATAACCCAGCAGGTGGGACAGCAGAGGGTGGCCGAGCAGCCTGCACCCGCCCCTCCTGCGACCCGACTGCTGGGACCGGAGCTGGACATTCCGGGACATTTCTCTCCTCTGCCCTCGAACCTGAGGGTTTCTCATCAGTTTGCAGCTTCACGGGTGTTGGAATTTTAAAAAGCAAGGGTCTGGGAGGGGTGTGTGCGTGTGTGTGAGACATGACCAGCCTAAGGCAACTGTCCTCTCTTCTCCCCTCCTGTCTCACTCCCAGCTCGTGGGCCCACAGCCGCCCTCGGACGGATCCCCACTTTACAAACAGGGAGCCAAGGCTCAGAGAAGCTGCATGACTTGCCCACTACTCCACAGCGAGAAAGTGGCAGGATGGGCTTCCCGGCCTGTGGAGTGACCCTGACCTGCAGCCTGGCCCAAGCGGGATCCTGCTAGGAGGCATGGGCTCAGACGGACTGGCTGGCGCTGTCCGCTCACTGGCCTGAGGGAAGGGTGTGGCCAGAGCAGGCAAGCCTGCCTTGATGCCATCACTTGGGCCCCGGAGGCAGAAACTCCTCGCTGTCCAGCTCTCTCAGAATCTAGGTCAGCCAACTCCTTTTGTCCTTAAGCCACTGGGGCGCAGCTCTCTCATCTGCAACTGAAGAAATCCAGACCAACACATGGCCTGGAGTGCCTGCCTGAGCAACATCCATCAACATTCCCCACTGTGGCCACCAGGGGACAGGACCCAGGAACCACTCCACATGAGTTAACACTGTCAGTTTTCAACTAACCCTTACTGGAGACCCCTCTGTGCCAGCCCAGAGCAGGGCCCGGGGACAAAGAGATCCCACTGTGACCCCATCTCCTCTGGGAAACCAGGGCTCGAGAAGCTTTGCCACCCCAGAGAGGCCTGGGTCACGACACCCCATCTGAGCCACATCACATGGATGGCAAGGCCTGCACCCAGGGAGCAGCTCCATTTCCCAGGGACTCTTGCTGCCAGAGCCAAGCACACAGTGCACCCATGACTTGTGCACAGAGCTGGGCAAAGCACACCCACGGGCCACACACAGCCCAGTGCACAGCACACCCACGGGCCATGCCAAGTCCTAGGTGCACAGTGCACCCCCAGGCCATATACAGCCTGGAACACAGCACCACACAACCACATATAGTGCCACCCACAAGCCATGCAAGCGGCATGACCCATAAGCCATACATTCAATGCCACTCACAAGCCACGCACACTGTGCCACCCGTGAGCCACAAAGAGCCAGGGACACAGTGCCACCCGTAAGCCATGCATGCAACCCACTCATGAGCCACATGAGGAGGTTTTCTTCGGAAAAGCGGCCATGCAGCTCAGAGAAAGGGGCTGACACGGGCTTACATTAGGCTCCCCGCTCCCAGCGCAGCCCAGGAGGGAACCGCAGTGAAACTTTCGCCTTGCACCCTGGGAGCCTCGGGGTCTCCCCACATGTGAGCCCACAGGACAGGCCACGTGGACCCTGGCAGCAGGACCAAGGCAAAGAGGGGGAAGGAGGAAGACATGGCTGTGACTGAGACGCACGTGAACCCGAGGAAAATGAGCAAACACACCCCCAACCCACAAAAGACCCTCCAGGAGGTCGCTGAGTCCTGACACCGAAAGAGGTCCCCCACGGAATTCAGAGACATAACGCAGAGACAGCATACTGCTCCTAAGAGAAGTGAAAACCTCCATCCACACGCATCAGGGGCTCGAGTCAAGCTAGACAGAAGTGGAGACGATCCACATGGCCCTCCACGGAGGAGCAGACAAGCAAAACGAGGTCTGTGCACATGACGGAGGGACCTGGTGGTGCCAGGGTTACATGCGTGGCTGCAATGGACAGGTTGGCAGTTCAAACCCACCCCGGCAGCTCGTGGGAGAAGAACCTGGGGACCGCTCCTGTGAAGGTGACAGCCTGGGAAACCCTCCAGGACGGTCCTGCTCTGTCATGAGGTCACCATGAGTCAGGATCAACTCGCCAGCCTACCACCGTCACAGAATGGAGTGTTACCCAGCCGTCACAGAAACGAGGTGCTACTGACTGCTGCAGCACAGCTGGCTCCTGGAAACCTGGTCCCAGAGGACCACAGCACCCGATCCCACTGATGGGATGTGCCCACAAGCTGAGCCACACAGACAGGAAGCAGAACAGCCACTGTCAAGGACTGGGGGAGGGGAGATGGGGAGAGACCACCTCAGGTCTTCCTGTTGGGGTGACGACAATGTTCTGGAATTAGATAGTAGCGATGGCTGTCTAACTCTGAATATACGACAATCACTCAATTGTACATTTGCTTTAAAATGTGCATTGTATGGCATGTGACATATCCCAATGATGCTGTGAAAACAAAAACAAAGCAGGTGCAGAGTAACCTGGTACAGGGTAACCGCGTTGCGGTAAAAATGAGCGCGTGCTGAGGTGCACGTGGTGGTGTCCCCGTCAGAAACGAAGGGGAGTGAAGAAAAAGACAAGGCAGTTGGTCCAAAGCATGAACAGACCATGAACCCCAGCCTCTATGATCCTGAGACTAGAAGAACTAGATGGTGCCCGGCAACCACAGCCAAACAACAGGCCTGTAACATGAACAACCTCAGGGAGGCCCTCACTCCCTAGTGCATCAACCAGATGAGATGCCAAGGGCAGCAACTGCCCCTGGATAAAGCTCAGAGGCAGGAAGGGACAGGAAAGAAGGATGAAGGCAAACAGGAGCCACATGGAGGAAGAGGGGAGAGCGCTGTTACACAGAGGGGGCTGCAATGCAGTCACAAAATAAAACGTGTGTGAATCGCTGAATGCAAAACCAATCGCTCTGTACACTTTCACCCAAATCAAAATAAAAAGCAAAGGACCCCTAGGAAGAATCTGGAACACGCTCCCCAGACGTCCCCGGGGAGACAGAGACTTTGAGCTGCACACAAACTGTGCGCCTCACATGTTCTGCGAGGAGCTTTGTTACTGCTGTGATCCTACAAAGGGCCAATCTGGAAAAACGACTACAGCAAGGCAGCCAGCCAGGGCTGAGGGCCAGGTGCCAGCAGTGCCGCGACTGCCTGGCCAATGGCTCAAGTGGTACCAATGGGTGTTGAAGACCAGAAGCTACTGGGAGAAAGCCATTCCGGTAGGAACTTTAAGGTGGGGGTTCTCAGCCAGGGTGACTGCTCCCCGGGGTATTCGCCAATGTCTGCAGGCTGCCGTGGTTGTCATGCTGCTACTGACAGCTGCTGAGTGGGGACTAGGAATGCTGCTCAATGTCTGACAGGCACAGGACACCCCAAAAAAGGATGATAAGACCAAAAACACTCACTGCCTGGAGTCGATTCCGACTCACACTGCTCCTAGAGGACAGAGGAGAACTGCCCCCAGAGGCTTTCCAAGGCTGTCGATCTTTACAGAAGCAGACTACTGCAAATTCCTCCCATGGAACAGCTAGTGGGTTCCCACCACCATCCTCTGGGTTTGCAACTACGTGCTTTAACCATTGCACAACCAGAGCTCTTAACAAGGGATTTGTAGCCCCAGATGTCACCAGTGTGGTGGCTGAGAATCCTGGGTTCAAACAGAAATTCTGCTTTGGGGCTGTGTCTGTACCACCCGCCCACGTCCTCCCAACACCTTCAGCAGCAACAGCACATGATGACGGGCTCGTGTCATTCTCCAGAGCCTTAGCTCACACACCCACTTGTAGCAAGTTTTGCAGTTTCCCATTGACAGTAAGGACAGATAGAGCCTCCGTTTTCAAAGACATATAAGAAAGCGACTGAAAGAGGAAAATGTCTGTTCAGGCAGTATGGGGAAGTCAGGGCTAAGGAGGGGGGCTGGAAGGCCCTGTCCCGCACAGAAGTGGGGGAGCTGTCCTGGAGCTCGCCCGGCCACCACTGCCCCGCCACTCACTGACGAGTCAGGCGGTACAGCTCTGACACATGCCCTAGGTGTACCTCAGTGAATCGCTGGGAGCCTCAAACCCCACCTGTCGTCCCACCTCAGCACACCACCAGGGAATGGCCAAATGCCAAGAGGCCACTAAGCAGGTGCAGCCTCAGGCCAGACTCACCCCCAGTTCACCTCAGCAGTGGGTGCAACCGCTTGTCTGTTTACCCCTCCCGCCCACCCCTGCCTTTGGGAAGCTGCCTTCTCCCACCCCACAGCACCTGCCCCACCCCCATCCACACGGGCGATGAGCAGGACACCCAAGCTAGTGACACACCCTGTAGGGCTTGGAGCCCACACACAGCACAGGGCTCGCATGACCTGGTGGGGCAGAGGGCCCAGGAGCCTGCCCCAGGTCAGGGGCTGCCTGTGCACGTCTCCCTGTGACCTTGACGGCGCTGCCCACAGTTCAGGAAAACTGCTGCCTCACTCCACTCATTCAGGCGGCTTCTGTCGCTTGCCACCAGAGAACCCTGACCAGCAAGCACACCCACTGCCCAGAGCAAACACCACCACGAGGGCTTCACCACCTCTGCGAGTTTAGAAACTCCAGGCCAGGTCCTACACCGCACCATGCCCGTGACCTCCAGCGCGTCCTCCACGTAGCTCTTTAATGACATAGGACACGAACACCTCCTCTGAAAGGAGCCCTGATGGCACAATGGTCAAGAGCTCAGCTGCTAACCAAAGGCTGGCAGTTCAAACCCACCCAGCACCTCCACAGGACAAAGATCTACTCGCGTCAAGATTACAGCCGAGGAAATCCTGCGGGGCTGCTCCACTCTGTCCTATACGGTCACCATGAACTCAATCAACTCAACAGCACTCAACCACCACCACCTTATTTTACAAAAACTAAATCATTCAGCTAAATCAAAGAACCCAGACACAAAAGGCCGCACACAGCATGACTTCGTTTCCAAAAAATACATCCAGTAAAGCCCTATCCACAGACGAGAAGCAGAGTGGTTACTAAGGGTCAGGAACAGGGATCCGCTGTAAACGGGCAGGATCCCAGTGAGATGATGGAAACATTCCACAACGGGATGTGGGTTGTGGTGATGGCCACCCAACTCCTCAATTCAGTCGAGACCACTGAACCCCGCGTACCAGGGCAGACCTGAGTCCGCAGCATTTCCAACGCTGACTTTCTACAGTAGATCACCAGATCTTTCTTCCAAGGTGCCGTGGGGTAGACTCGAACCTCCCACCTTCCTGTTAGCAGTCCCACACACCACCCAGGGGCTCCCACATACACATAATGGTGCCGTGAGAACAAAATGAAGCAATCCCCTCAGCACGGGCATCCAGGCTGTTTCCAGTGGTTATAACAAAACTGAGGTAAGTTCCCTCCCTGGGCTGATGACAGTGACACCCGCGGTCCCAGGCCCTGCCAAGTGCAGCCCTGTAGCCCAGCAACAGCACAGGGAGCCTCTCCCCCTCCCGAGCCCGGCGCTGTTGCCACGTGCTCAGCCCTTCCTGGCGGCGAGCCACCATCGGAGGAAGGGACTCTAGCGGTCCCACTGTGCCTGGCCTGCCCCGAGGGGAGGGAATTCAGGAAAGGGGCCAGGAGGGGCTTGTCCAGGAGTGTCACCTCATCATCCTTCCACTCTGAGAAGTCCATCTTGAAGGAGGGCAGGGAGAACTGCTGGCCAACCCCTCTCTTGTAGTGCACTGTCTCAGACTGCAGGGCGGCGCTTTTGGGGCTGTACCTGAGGGGCAACAAGAGAGAAGGGCGGAGGGTGAGGCTCTGCCAACACCACGTCCCTCTGGGCCACATCGCAGTGAGCCGTTCCTGCTGGCGGCTGCCCAGGACCCCCACCAGCACACACCCCCACGCAGGGCCAGCACCCACATTCCTTTTGGGGACAGAGTAGAAATTTCCCACAGCCCCAAGTCCATGGCCTGCTCTTGGGGGCCAAGGAAGGTGGCACCCACAACCAGGCAGCACTATCCCTGAAAGGCCCTCTGCAGGGCTGTCACTGCCTCATCCTGCTGGTCACACGGCTGGGCTGTCACGTACCTCTAACCCTTCCAGAACCCACAACTGCTAACAACTCTGCTACCTTTTTCTGCATGGCCTGCACCCCTCTACCTGCTTTCTACAGCTTGGTTCTTTCCTGAACAAGCACGTCCAGCATTCATAGGTGCCAGAGCATATGCTGCGGAGCCCCTCCCACACTACTCCTGGCCGCCCCCTCTATCCTTGAAGCAGCCGGGCATGGCTCCAGGACAGGCTGGGCACGTTCATATGCCTGCAGGCCCTCTCTCCCCTAAGGCCCAACAGTAGCCTGCACACACACGTGCACGTACACACATGCACACCCCCACCGTGCACTCTCTCCACTGACAGCCTAGTGCTGCTCCCCAGTCGCTGTGCACACAGGCGTCCTGCTCTCAGCACCAGTGAGAGAGGCTCCAGCCGACCCCTCTCCCAGCTGAGGAAACAGGCGCAAGAAGTTGCGTGCCCCAGGCCACTCTGCAGGGACGGGTCAGGGCAGGATTCCAAGGCTTGGCTCACCACCATGGTACCATCCTGAGACCCCGACCTGGCTTCCGAGTGGTCCCACCCCCACGGGGATGGATGCACACATTCTCACCCCACCCTGCTTCAGGCCCCGCTGCATGGAGCCAGGCCTGGGGACAAGGGGGCAACACAGAAGGGTGGCCTCCAAACTCTCCAGGCCAACAGCCCACTACCCAGAGGGAGTGAATAGTTGGACCTGTGGCCTCAGGACCATGGTCACGGGATATCAGGCTCAACTGGCATAACATACTACACAAAAACATTGTTCCACATCCTACTTTGGCAAGTAGCGACTGGGATCTTAAAAGCTTGCAAGCGGCCATCTAAATGCAATGATGTGTCTCTCCTCGTCCAGAGCATAGAAGAATAAAGAAAACTAAAGATGTATGGAAATAATTAGTCCAAGGGACTGGCACACCATGCGATCCTCAGCTTATATGACTATGAGACCAGAAGAACTAGATGGTGCCTGGCTACCAATGTCAACCACTCAGAGGGGGATCTATGTAGGAGATCCTGGAAAGACTAGAAGAGCAATGTGGAACAAAACTCAAAATTGTTAAAAATAAAAAATAAAAAAAAGGGGAGGGGGGTACCAGTACCAGATTTGCTGGTCTGATAGATAGAGCGTGATGGAACCCCTGAGACTATGGCCCCGGCTGCCCTTCAGGTCTGGAATTGAATCCACTCCTGTGGCTTCCAGCCAAACAAAAGACAGCATATGAGCTGAACATTTCCATTAGGTAGATACACTCCTTGGAGAGAACAATCATGGGAGAATAGAAGGGCTGTGTATGAACAGGCAGAAAGATCAGGGGGCAGGAGCAAATGGGAGGGAAGGACATAGGGAAGAGGTAACTAGGGAACTATGGGAAGAAGTGGGAGGGGAGCTGTTGCACTGTGGGAAATTGTAGTCAATGTCATGAGACAAAGTGTACGTGAACTGCTGTATGGAAAGTGAACTTGCTCTGTAACCTTTTACCCAAACCACGATAAAAATTTAAAAAAAAAAACACTAACTCTCCTGGCCAGTAGGAGAAAAACCTCATCCAAACACTCAAGTTAGAACACAGCTGGACGCAGGGCTGGAGGCCCTGGGTGAGGTACACAGACAACGCACTCAGCTAGTCTTGGAAAAGGCTAAAGGCCTGAGCCCACCCAGAAGCACCTTGGAAGAAAGGCCTGGTGATCTACTTCTGAAAAGGCCTGCCTCTGAAACCCTCTACTTCTGAAAGGCCTGCCGCCGTGAGCCAGAGCTGGCTGCCTCTAAGGCAGCTGGCCTGGTGGCAGAGCTGCTGGGGCCTAGCTGGACAGACACACGCAGAGGGAGCCCCCGCCCCGGGCGGTCTGCCTGCCAGGTGCACAGCCTCACACAGCCATGCCGTTCAGGAACTCCTCAGTGGCCTGGCAGTAGATGGTGATGGCCACACGGGCGTCTGCGTCGAAGGTGAACTCCAGACTGTAGAGGACCCGGGGCTTCTCACTGTCCTCAGTGGGGCTGTCAGCGTCGTCTTTGTACCTAAGGAGAGGAGACAAGGGGTGTCCACAGGTCAGCAGGGCCAAGACCACCAGGCTGATCTGCTGCAGGGGCGCTGGGGGCCAAGAGGCCTGCATGGCTGCTGTCTTGATGCACTCAGCTCTCTAGCAAACGTGGAGGCTGCCTCCCATCTGGACAACAAGGCCCAACGGCCAACAGCCCAGCTTTCCTTCCCCTCCTCCTAACCCAGAGAAGTGAGTCCCTCGGAGACAGCCCAGGTGCCACACACGGATTGTTTCAACCCCAGTACTGACACGCGGGGGCACTGCCGACGTGCAGGCCTGAGGTCCTCCTCACCAGAGGTGGGGCCGCCCCGTGCACTGCAGCACCTGGGACACCCAACACAGCATCTGTCTGGAACCTGCACTCCTAGCGGGGACAGGGGGCTCCGAAGCCCCACCTGGCAGCCCTGGGACCAGCGGGGAACACACCCTCGCCACTGAGTGTGTCCAATGACCAGCACGTTCCCAGGGTCCAGCCCGGAGCCACGGGGTCACAATGCACCTTCTGTCACAAGCTCCAGGGGGTGCAGGTGGCCTTAAAGCTTGAGAAACATGCCACACGAATCCTGGCTGAGTATTGGCCTGCTGGGAGGCTGTCCCACTGTGCCCACCTCTAGGGCCACTGAGGCTAGGTCTCAGGTGGTCACAAGAAAGCTTAAGGGGCTTTTGGTTCCCTAGACCTGGGCCTCCCAGCCTCAGCACTGTTGACACTTTGTTCTGGATCATTCCTTGTGATGGGGGCGGCCTGTGCACTACAGGGCACGGAGCTCCATCACTGGCCTCCACCCCCAGACGCCAGCTGTGACAGCCAGGCATGTCCCTGGACCGTGCCCGGTGTCCCCAGGGGTCACAATTGCCCCCATGGGGGCTCCTGGGCTGAAGGGTTGAGTTCCACAGTAGACCCTGCCCATCTGACCTCCCCGTCCCCTCCCCTCTGGCTCCGCCCTCGTCATCCCTGCACCCTCCTGAAGCCACAAAAAGGGAGCAGGGCCTCCACGGGCCCCCAATGCCTGCTCTCTTCCCAAGCACCAGACAGAAGGCTTCTGCACCACCCAGGGTTCCCGAGCCGGCCCCTCACCTCACGAGCCGCAGGGAGTCCTTGCGGATGTTGACCAGGCTCCTCAGGGTCTTCACCGGCTCGTGGGGGGCGGGAGTGACGTAAGGAAACTAGGAGGGAAAAGCCCAGTACCCCAGGTGACCCCAGGAAGCGGCAGGGGAGGGAGAGGCGGCAATGACCACAGCGAGGGTCACGGCCCATGGGTCTCCTGGGCACAGGTGCTGTGCGAGGGCTGCGCGAAGGCTGCGTGGTCATTCTCCCTGTGCCCGTGGGGAACGCACAGGCGACCCGGCCAGACGCAGCAAAGCCAGGAGCAGACCACAGACAGCCTTCACTCAAGCCACTCAGCTGGGACCCCCTGGTTCCAAACGACTCTCGGCAGCCTAAGCCCAGCCAGAGGGAGGAAGGGCGTGAGGCCGGGGCTCCCACAGTGTGTTCTGCTTGGGAAACACAGGCGTCCACTCAGCCCATGAACAAGCAGTCTCTTTACACAATGACAGTGGGTCCCCCAAAGAGATACGGTAAGTCCCAGCCCCTACAGCTGTGAACACGAACTCGCCTGGGGAAGCAACTAGAAGGCAATGGGTTCTGGGGCCGCAGGTGTTCTCAGTTCCAGGGCACACTGGGCAGATGACCCTAATCCCGCCCCAAGTGGTGTCTAACAAGGGGAAACAGAAGGGTGACACTCGGGAGGGTGGCAGGGAGGGTCCCTCCACAAGCCAAGGAACACCCAGGGCTACGAGAAGCTGAACGAGATTAAAAAAAAAAAAAAAAAGGAGAGAGAGCGTGGCCCTGCCAAGGCCCTGAATTCAGACTTCTAGCTTGCAGAACCAGGAAACAGAAGTCCACTAACCCCCACCAAACCATTCACATACAGTGCCTTGCAAGGGCAGCCCTAGGAAACGAACACGACAGGAGGTCAACAGAGATTTGCAGACAGTACACACAGACACACACAGAGACACAAACACTCCGGTGAAATGTGAAAAAGCTGGTGGGCTGTGTCCACGCCAACTCCTACTTGTGATATGCACTAGCGGTCACAATGGGGGCACTGCGGGATGAGCACAGAGCTTCCTCTGTCTTATTTCTTACAGCTTCAGATGAACATGCAATCATTTCACAGTAAAGACAAAAGAAAAAAAAAGGAGGAGAAAGGAAAGATTTACAGAGGCCTGTGTGAGCCAGGCCCTACCCTGAGTCGGGGTTGAAGGCACAGGGACATGCACCATCTCGCAGACTCTGGGTCTGGCTCTGCACTGCCCAAACTGGGTGGCTCGTGCCTGGGCACCCCGCTGTGCACAGCAGGGGGTTCCTTCCCACCCGGTGCAGCCCCACCCAGCCACAGCCTCTCCCCGGGACCTGCCCAGAGCGTGCTGTGTCCTCTCGCAGCTCCCATTCTGTCGCCTGTTTGGTGGCCCTCATGCAGGTATTTGCTCCTTCACTATGGGCAGCCCCCACCAGGGAACAGACACAAGCCCTGTCCCATGTCCTCAGCTCCTAGAGGTGGCTGAGGTCCACAGCAGGTGCCTAACATGCACCGAACATGTGACCAACCGGGTGGCGCCAACGGTTTATGCTTGGTGTTTCAAATCCACCCAGTAGTGGTCCTATGGAGGAAAGGCCTGGAAATCTATTTCCGTAAGATTCCAGCTCTGGTAGTGTAGTGCCTAAGGCACTTGACTGCTAACCAGAAGGCTGGTGGAAGGAAGATGGGGCAATCTACTTCCGTAGTGATACTGCCTCAGAAACCCAAGGAGGGGTCGCTAGGAGTTGGGTCCGACTTGACGGCACATAACAACAACTACAACAAGATTTCAGCCACATGACAACCCATGACGCACAGTTCCACTGCAACACACGTGGGGTCACCAAGACTCGAACTTGACAGTAATGGGTCTGCTGTTTTGATTTGGAGAAACTTTGCAAACACACTCACAGCCATTGATACTTTCCCCCTGGAATGGGATGTCTTTTTTGGGGGGGAAGAGGAAAAGAATACAAAAGGCTGGAATCTGCTATAAACTGGGCAAAGCTCAGAGCCTGGACACACTGCCGGTTCAATAAAGGCAGCTTTGTCTCTCAGTAAATTGCCGTGACAGTCAAGGTGGTGGCGCAGTGGTTAAAGTCCTCAGCTGCTAACCGAAAGGTTGGCAGTTTGAACCCATGAGCCATGGGAGAAAGACGTGGCAGTCTGCTCCTGTAGAGATGACAGTCTTGGAAACGCTATGGTGCCGTACTACCTTGTCCTGTAGGGTCATTGTGGGTTAGAACTGACCTGATGGCAGTGGGTTTGGTTTGGGTTGAACCTGTCCCCCCACGGTTCTCCAGCCCCGGGGGGGCAGTGCCAAGACATTCCCCATTCATACACGCTCAGCTCAACCTCCCAGCCCTCCGGGGTAATTGACAGCTCACCAGTTTTGGGGTGACCCAGGGATCACCATCCTCCAGGCCAAGACACAGAGAAGCTGAGGGCAGGGACCTAGCCACGCCTTCTTGTGACCCCGTGGCACCACAAGCAGCTACCTTCAGCCCCAACCCCGCCCCAGCTCACCTGGACGGGGCGGTTGCCCAGGAAGTTCAGGTCCATGTTCTCGCCAAAGAGGTAGCCTTCAGGGTGGGGGGTGTCAAATTTCTCGCCACCCATGAAGAAGTGCGAGGCAAAGTAGTTTCCTATTAGAAAACACAGGGGTTGGTTATGGGGTATGAGGCTCTGAACAGCCCAAGGGCGCTGGAACGCGAGAGGGGCCCTGTCTGAGAAGCCCCCATTTCTGGAGAGTTCGGCAGGAGTTAGCCCACACACTGCCCCTCCTGCTCTGCTCTGGCCAGCCCAGCCCTTGTGGACTGTAGTCATCTGAGCCCGTGTGGGCCCCCACCTGGTCCCCTGTGGGAATTCATGAGCCCCCCACAGATCTGTGCGCCCTTCTTAAGAGCTTGGCCCCAGTGACCATAAGCTCAGCCAGGTCTACAAAAGCAGGCGGGGAGGTCAGGCAGCTCCTCCCTCCCGGGGAGGTGGCCTGGGGCCACAAGTCTAGCTGACCTGATCTCAGGGAACATAAGAGGTGCCCACCCTGAATCCACCCAGTGGACCAGCCACCAGAAAGCACCAAGGCAGGTGAGAAAGACTGAAGCAACACCTCCTCCCTGGGCCAGGCAATGGTTCACAAGCTCAGCTGCAGACTGATCTTTATTTGCAGATGACATGATCCTATACAGAGAAACCCTAAGAGACTCAGCAAGAAAACTACTGGAACTAATTGAAAGGTTCAGCAAAATATCAGGATATATAAGATCAACATACATAAATCAGTTGGATTCCTCTCTATCAACAATGAGATCTCTGAAAAGGAAAGAAGGAAAACAGTATCATTTACAATAGCTACCAAGAAGATAAAATACTTGGGAATCAATCTTAACCAGGGACACAAAAGACATATAGAAAACTACAAGAAATTACAAGAGCTCTACATAAATGGAAGAACAGATTATGTTCACGGATAGGAAGACAATACTGTGAAAATGTTGAGCAAGATGGTAGAACTGGCAGACAAGCTATACAGACCCTCTCAGACAAAAAGATAGGAAACCAATTGAAACAGATACAGAAGATAATCCTGGAACCTCGAGCTTTGAAGAGAACGATCAAGAAGTGGATTAAATACCAACTAGTAGAAGAACCTGAATGAAAACAGTGAACAAGGAGACAAACAGCTGCAGACTGTTGGCTATCCTGATGGCACGGCCAGTTTGCATATTTATAAGTGGTATTATGATCTGGGCCGCAATCTAAGAATTGGTGCTGTTTGCCAAGGACTCCATGGACAACTGCACTGGTGGCTGATGACCAGAAAGGAAAATAGTAAACAAGGAGGCAAACTGAGCAGTGGACTTTTGGCTGTCCTAAGGGTGCAGCCATTTTCGGTATTTGCAAGCAGTGTTCTAATCTGAACAGCAACCTACGAACAGGCTCCGACTGCCAAGGACAGCACAGGCAACGACACTGGAGGCTGACGATTACAAAGGTGCGGTATTTCCTTTGTCACTCTTATATCCCACACGTTCTTGACAAACAGAGGTGCGGCTATCCCCAACATCCACCCACCTTTTGGACCTACAGGAATTCCATCCAAGTCTGGCTGCCCTGATGGAGCCTGGGGGCCCCGCCCTTGCCCCCAAGTTTTGGTTTTGTTTTTTATAAAATTATTCTTTTTCCCCTCTTTATTCCTTTTTATTTCTTCTTTTTCCCTTCTCTGGTTCTTTTTTTTTTTCCCCCCTCTTCCCTTTTCCTGGTTCCCATCTTTTTTCTTCATTTTGGTTTTTCCCATCCCTTTTCTTTCTGTAGTTTTCTCATTTTGTCTTTATTATTCTTTTACTTGTGCTCTTTTCTCTTATTCTCCCTTCCCCAAATACTGTAGGGATTTTTCCTCTTTACCTTTCTTTTGTCTTTTAAAAATATTTCTTCTCATTTACTGCCTTTCCTTTTTTTTTTTTCCCCTGAGATTGTTCCTGTTTGCTTATGCAATTTGTGTTTTTGGTCCTCTTGTTTTTATCAGTTTAAAAAATAATAATAATAATAATATACATATATTTATATCTCAGAAGGAAAGTTGGGCAATCTACTTCCATAGTGATACTGCCTCGGAAACCCGAGGGGTGGCTAGGAGTTAGATTTGACTCGACGGCAATGCATTTTGGATTTTTTATATATTTATATATATTACTGTTTTTACATCTGAGTGGGAGACAGCAACTGTGCCCATACAACCTGACCATACCCTCACCTCCTGCAGCCCCACTGAGTGAGGGCCACCACTTGATTCTGCACCAACTGATTAAGGACAGATGGCGGCCAATACCAGTCTAACTCACCCTTAACTGCTCTTCACAAACAGCTAACAGAGATCTGTGCACACACTCTCATTCTCTATTACACCCACCAGGAGACAGGTGTCAAGTGAATAAGTGCTGCTAACCAGTGAATAGAGGAGCACAGTGCCATGCTCACTCAAGATATATCAAAACAAAATAAAGGGGAGGGAAAAAAAAGAAAAAGAAAAGAAATCAGACCAACATACAATCACCAATAAAATATAAATACAACAACGTCACAATGTCTTGGAGATAGCTGACCATCCCAGAACACACAAAGAAGCAAGATAAAGTAGTTGAAACAAGGGACCAGGATATAAGTCCAGAAAAACCTCCTGGAGGAAGCAGCAGCACTGGAACTCAAAAGAAAGAATTAAAAATAATTATATTTAGGTGCTTTCAACAAATTGAGAGGGAGATCAAGGAAAACATTGACAAAATTAAGGAGAACAAAGACAAAACTCCAAAACAATTTAGGAAAATGATTTAAGAACACACTGAAAAAATAAATGAAAAAATCAGACACAGTATAAAAACTACAAATAGAAATCCAGAAGATTGATACTAAAATTTCAGAAATAGATAACACATTGAACAGGCAAAGGAATAGAATCATTATCAATGGAAGACAAAATTAGTGAGACTGAAGTCAAATACCTCAATACTACTTTGGTAAGGGATCAATCAGAAAAAAAGATCAAAACAAAATGAAGAAAGCCTAAGATTCATGTGAGATACCATCAAGAGAAATAACCTACATGTAATCAGAATTCTAGAACAGGAAGAGACAAATAAAACCACAGAGAAAATTGTCAAAGATTTGTTGGAAGAGAATTTCCCTGATATGATGAAAGATGAGAATAAATCCATCAAGAAGTCCAACAAAAGCATTGACCTATGTCAAAAAAAAAAAAAAAAGTCCAACAAACCCCAAATAGGATAGACCCAAAAGAAAATCACCAAGACATATCATAAACAAACTCATCAAAACCAAAGACAAAGAAAGAATCCTGAAAGCAGCCCAGGAAAAACAAAAAGTTACCTACAAAGAGCAACCTATAAGACTAAGCTTTGATTTCTGGGCAGAAACCAGGCAGGCGAGAATGCAGTGGGATGATATATATAAAACCCTGAAAGAAAAACATTACCAACCAAGATTTATATACATAGTGAATCTGTCCCTCAAATATGATGGTAAATCAGGACATTTCCAAAAAGGAAATTAAGAGAACTTGTTAAAACCAGACCAATCTTCCAACAGATGCTAAAGGGAGCCTTTTGGACAGAGAACTAACAACAGCAAACAACAACTGACCATGAACACACTTGATGACATAACCCAGAAAACAACCCAGTTACAGACGCATCCAAAGTAAAATGAGCTGAAAACTGTAAACAGGGAACCAGAGAAATCAATAAATGAGTGAGGACAACTATTTATCCCCAAAAAGAGAGATTCAATAGTATAGTTACAGAACTCCAAATGGTGAGGAACTCAAGACAATTGTGAGATAGAACAGACTGTTTTAAACTTGGGAAGAAAACTGTTAAATCACAGGGTAACTTCAAAGTTAAATAATAAACCTTTGTATCAAAACAAAAAAGAGGGTAGGTACAAATATTTAGCAAATACTAAAACAATAGCAACAACAAAATTCATAAACAAAATGAACTCAGCACAGAAAATTAAATGGAACAAGAAAATTTGCAACACCACACACACAAAAAAAACCAGCAAAATGACAACAACAAATTCATACTTGTCAATAACTACAATGAATGTAAATGGATCAAATGTACCACTCGAGATGGAGAGTTGCAGACTGGATAAGAAAACATAACATATCAATATGCTGTCTACAAAAGACACACCTTAGAACACAAATAGACTAAAAATCAAAGGTTAGAAAAAGATATATCAAGCAAATGGCAACCATAAAAGAGCAGGAGTGGAAATATTAATTTCTGATAAAACTGACAAAATTTTAAGACAGAAACCACCATAAGAGATAAGGAAGGACATTATGTAATGATTAAAGGATCACTTGAACAGGAGGACATAACCCTAAGTTATTGTTCCGGTTCCCTAGTACCACTCTGATAGGAATATACTACAAATGGGACGGCCTTAACAAACAGGAGTTTATTCTCTCACAGTTTGGAGGCTTTGAGTCCAAGTTCAAAGTGCCACGCTCTAGGGGCTGAGTGAAAGCCCCTTAACCTTCGGTTGCAGCTCTGCCTCCTCTTCCTGGCCCACTGGAGCTAGAGGCATTTTTTCACTCAGACAGCTGCTGGCTGATGACGCTGGCAAACCCAAGGCTGACAAGTAAAAAGGCACAGTCCCGATGTTACCAAACCACACGGTAGGCCATTAATTTAAGTCCATTGTAAGTCCCCAGGTCAGCAGAGCACGGCAGGCTGCCGAACAACGACATGGCGACATGCAGGGTCCAAGCGTGCCATAAGCTAGAGACCATTCCCAAAGCTGTTTTTTATATACAGGAAGCAGACCACATACACAAAGCAGCTACTCAGCTGCTTGTGGTAGATCCCACCATGGAGCTGATTGCCAGTCTCATCATGGGGAATAACTACCACCAGCTGCCCAGCCACTCAACCAGGCTCGGCCAAGATGACACACAAAGATAACCAAAACAATTCCACCCCTTGTCAACTTGGCATTTGTACAGCTCTTCATCTCTAAATAAAGACCATTATAAAGTCATACCTACACCTAACATAATACAACTAACATGAATCCAATCGATAACACACCAGCCCCATTCCACATCGTGTATTTTATA